CATCTGGGGTATGTAGAACTCAGGGTGTTCCTATTCTTAGTGCGGGAGGGACTGAGCTGTAGTGCGTGATGTGGGTCACCTCCTGCACAGCAGCCCTGTTGCTGGCAGCTCCGTTTCCTACATCTCTACATTTTTTTCTGTTTCCCAGCTGCATCTCCCTGCTCCTCTCACTCTTTGTGGCCCCTTTCCTCCAGATGCGTTTGAGCACCACCACGTTGCCCAGTTGCTGCGCCGTTTTTCCTCTGACTATGCCACGAGCCGGAACATCTCCCTGGATGCCACTCTAGCCCATCACCTCCAGCAGTGCTCCTACCACCTGCGCCTCTTCAGGAGCTGGCTGATCTCAGGGCAGGATGACTTGGAGTGTCTTTACGGTACTGCACGCTGCAGCTGCCTTAGTCCCGTGCTCTTAGAGCTGAGCGGGGACCACTGTCTGCTTGAGAATGCAAAGTATGCTTTGCTTCTAAAAAAAGGAAAGCCTTTCCCCTCACTGCATCCCTTACATCTCTGGATTGCTGCTGCAGCAAGGCGTGTGGGCTGTTGTACCGGCAGTTTTGTAGCCTTAGGAGCAGCCTTTCCACATGGAGCCAGTGCTCTTTGTGTAGCTCTAACTCTGCTCTTTCCATCCCGGGCAATTGTTCATTGCCTTCTTCCTTTATCCAGGGTAAGCCAATAAGCTTTCTGCAAATGCTGTTTTCCTGCCAGTGTGGTGTCCTGCTGATGTGATGCACCTGCCCAGGTCTCAGTGGCGTGCTGCTTAGTGTTCCCTTATTGATGGAAGAACCAAAGGGTTGAGAGTGTGGAAGGAAAGGAGATTAAGGAGGCACTGCAGCTGATCATGGGCAGAGTGAATGAGCATACAGTGGAAATTCATTTAGGGGGAATGAGTGCTTATGGGATTGTATTGTTTAGAGAGACCAAGTTAAGCTGGGGTAGACGCTGAGCTTCTGTGCGTCTGCATTGCATGGCATCTGTTTCACCTGTTAGGAAGTTTGCAGCGTGTCACATGGGGGGAGGCAGGTGATTCCAGTACTAAATCTAGATGTTATAAATCAGTGCTCCTTGGCTATTTGTCAGCCTCTGGCACAGGTGGGAAATCTGATGCATTGAGTCTCAGTGCTCCTAAGACAAGCAGGAGATTCCTCTCTGAGAGGGGTATCTGGCTAGAGTTGCACCATAAAACCTGCTCGGTGCATGTGGCTTGCTGAATGTGTGGTGTGATGCATGGAGTTCTTTTTTCATTCAGACCCATATGTGGCAGAGGCAGACACAGCACAGCGTTTTGGGCAGTGAAGCAACAGGATCAAACATCTTCAAAGCCTAGAAAAGAGAACTTTTTATATACAGCCTATTTATTCTTGATACAGCCCTTTCTACTGAGTAGGCAGCTTGGAGATGGCAGTTGCTTTTCATCTATAATTAGGACAATCCTTGGTCTCCTAGCAACAAATACTAAAGAGGATCAAAACTGCTTCAAGGGATGAGATACTGGAACAAAGCAGATGCTCCAAAGCTGAGCTTCCTCTACTGCAGATCTCAACCTTCCCACGTGAGCTCCAGCAGAGAGAGGGAATGAGTTCAGCACTTTGGGCAAATAAACTCCAAATATTGCAGCGTGATGCTGGGTTGTGCCACCTATTCTAATGCAGCCGGGCTCTGTGCATCAATGTAGTAGGTTTCCTATGTGGAAATCAGATATCTGCACTCAGTAAGTTTTTTTTTTTTTTTTTTTTCTTCTTCAGCTTGACTGCCATTCAGACCACAGTTAATTAGTGTCTTTGGAACCCCTGCTGGTGTTCTTAGAGAAGTTTCTCCTGTCTTTGTAGCTGAAAGTCCAAATTTATCCTATGTAAAACTATGTTCTCCCCTTCCCTCCTTTCCTTTCTTTCTTGGCTCTCAGGTGTACTTCTACCTAAACAAAGAAAAGAAGCAAAAGATAGAAACAAGGGATAAAAGTATGTGCTTGGCATCCATAGCCGGAAGGATCAGTAGTTAAGTCTTGAAGTGATCTTTCTGGGAATCTGGGCTCATCTAGTTTAGGAAAGAAAGGGTGTGAAGTGAGTTCATGTTGGTAATGGATAGCAGTGATAATAACTGCAAGGGTCAGCTGTGAGGAAACAGGAGCATGGGTAGTGAGCGACCGGGCAGTGAAACAGCAGGTGATGTTCAGTGTAAATCCATGTTGGGTAACATGAGGAAACCACCCCAATTTCATGCAGACCTGACCATCACCACTGGGAAAAGGGAGACATCTGCAGTCTGGGAAGGGTGGTTTTGGTGGTGGTATGAGTGGCCTGGAGAGGAGCGGTGGGGATCTGCAGTTTGGCCTCTGCTTCAGCACAAGAACTGGGATGTTTCTAATAGACCAAATAGAAGGCAGCATGAAATAGGAATGAATTTTAAAAAAATACCAGAAACAGAGTGAATGAAACTCCTCATAACTCTACATGGGGGTGTTAAAAGTGCAACTGAACTTATGTGGAGACTGGAGAATGTCATGAAAAGCTGCACTGTGTTCAGAACAGTTCTGAGCTGTAAGGTCACTGCAGGCCTGGGGAAGGAGTCACCATGTGCTGTCTGGTCTTGTAGCCTGTCATGAATGTACACTTCTGGCACTGTGGGCAGGGAGCAGCTGACCAGAACAGACCTTCAGGCTGACTGTGCAGACTTAAATTTAGAAGGGCTTGCTAGCAAGAAGTCCTAATTCATGTGCGTATTATGTACATGCATATAAACACGGGTATACACAGGGCATGTTTGAGCTCTGCCAGCAAAATACAGCTCAACTGACCAAGCATGTTGGAGGGGAACTTGCTGAGTGTGCTTTCTCCTATACCCTTCAGGATCTGTGCTGAGTCTGGGACGGGTGTTTCTTTGCTCCAGTGGAGCTGACATACAGAGCTTTGGCATGTAGAACTTTGGGGATGTATCAGTGCCATTGCTCTGTGCCATTGCTCTTGCTTTCAGAATTTTCACTACACAGGAACAGATAATCTCTCCATGCCAACACAGAGCTCAAAACCAGATAGCTGTGTAGTAACTTGGTAATTGCTGCCAATGAAAACATGTATGCTGATGTTCAGAACTCTCAGGTAAAAGTGTAATACACAAGAACAATTGATTTGGGCCAAAAAGACTTCTCACCTGAGCCTTCCTTGGCCTCTGTCTATCAGTGGTGTTGTTGGTGTCACACCTTCCTTTGACACTGGATCTTTGATTTCTTCTCTTTATTAGAGGTTGCCTGTACACTCCTATCCCTGTCAGTGCCTCCAGTGTATCTTGTAACATTGCCTTGCCCTATGTTCTATTTAAACTACTTTCCATTTTCTTTGGATAACTGGATAGCTGAGTCAACTTTGGTCTCTTTGAAGACAGATTCTGTTGTGAGCTGACATGAGCCTCCCTCTGTGCTTCTCCAACACCATCTCCAGTCTGCTGGTCTTTAAAGTCTTTACCTCACTGCTTTTCTTTAGCTTTGTCTCTCAGGGTGCCTGTGAGAAAATAATGAATAAACACTCTTCCTTATTCAGGAAGGACTTTTCAGCAAGAGAAAGAACAACATGGTGATTTTTTTTCTGTCTCACATTCCTTTGTCCTAGCCAAAGATTTTTTTATCCTTCGTGTCTCGAAGTAATGTTCATAGGCACTTTGTGGCATAGGTAACCCCTCTCAGTGGCTAAAGGAGTCTTCATCTCCAGTAGCTGTTATTGTAGCAGATGCACGCAGCACTGCAAACTGGTCATGTTCTGATCTGTAGCCTCCTTGCATGGCATATAATCACTCTAAATACCATCTGCTGGCTCAGGTTCCTTGCCTCTTGCAGTCCTGGGTTAGATGAGTGCATTGGGGCAGAGATTGATGAAATCTGGAGGTGACTGAAGGACTGGAACAGTGACATTTATAGCAGACAATCTGGGTGCTCCAGGTTCTCTCCTTCGTAGGTGCAGGGACCAATTTTAGCCTGTCAGTGTGCTGAGCAGCAGTTTTGATGTATGCATCAAGAGCCATATGCTTTTTTGCATTTCAAAGTAATTTTTCTTACCTAGGAAACAGGTAAGGTATGAACAGATCCAGTTCTTTTTCTTTTTTTATTTTTTTTTCTGAACTCCTCAGAGGGAGCTTAGGGCACACAGAATGGGAAGCCTGGGCTTAAGAAGTTCAGAGATCTTTAAATATGAGAAGCAGAGCAGAAGGATTCTTACTCCCATATACCCAGAGTCACTTCTGTTTCTTTCTTGCTCCTCTGACAGTTTCAGGCTGGCTTAGTGCCACAGAGCGCTATCAGGAAGTTTGGATGAAGAGAAAAATGCTTTACTGTAATCTCTGCTGACTCAATAGCAAAGAATTTATTGTGAGTGGTTGTGATTCAGCTTAGCTCTGAGCAAGAGTCTGTTAGATGTTGATATGACTTCTACTAATTCAGAGTTTGCAGACAATGAGTTCTTCTTTGGGGACACACGATTCAAACAGCTGTCTGGGGAGGGCTATATCAGGTGTTCCCTGCAGGGTGTGCTGGGAGAGTGGGAGGTTCTTTTCCCACTCTTTGCAAAGGCAGCGGTGCACCACAACTGTGCGATGAGTGGAGGGTGGTCTGTGTCTCAGGTTGGAGTGTTATCGATGGTGGGAGTCCTGCTGGGAAATTCTGCTGACTTCACTCAAGTTTTGTTTAGTTTCTGTAAACTGCAGAACTACACCAAGTTTTCCCTCATAACCAGATATTTTAGCAAAAGAGACACAGGCATTGCAGCAGACCTTGCTGCTGCTAGATGTTTCCTCCTCCTCCTTTTGCGTATGCCTGGATGCTTGCTTTCAGGTCTGTAACTGCATGTGATTGCCTAATGGTGATTTGGTGATTTTCTTGGCCTAGAAAAGGTGATCTTAGTCCTGAGTGTGGCTGCCGTTTGGTTTCCAGACTGCCTAGCTCCTTAAGCCATGAATGGTCCTGCAGAGACTTAGATTGCTATTTACTCTATTCATTTTCTGATTGGGTTTCTTTCCAGGTTTTGAAGGCTGTTCCATGGTTCCCACTATTTATCCCCTGGAGACCCTGCACAACTCCCTCTCTTTGCGGCAGGTCAATGAGTTCCTGACGGCTGTGTGCAGGAGTTGCACTGAATCACATGTTCGGTCTACTGCAGGTACTGATGAGGTGGGCTCATCTCTGGGTAGGGCAGAGCAGAGCCAAAGCAAGCAGTTAAGGTCTTTTGGTCTTTTACATTCTGGGGACAGACTGAGCAATAAGCACAGTCACAGATGCCTGTTCCAGGGTGTTCTAGCCTTTCAGTCAGCTGTGGGATCCAGCTCAGAGCCATCCTAGGCCACACACCTGAGGGATGAATGGTGGGCCGGGTCTGTCTGCTGCTGGTCAGCACAGCGATGTGGATACAAACTCCAGCTTGGGAAATCTGAGGCTCAGGTTCCCAGAGTCTGGGGGTAGACACAGCTCTGTTTGTGCACTCTTAAACTCTTTCCTGAGTGCCTGTTAGTGGTTGCTGGGGAATGTAGACTCACTGTGGCCATTCTGTTTTCTCTCTGCCTGAATGTTATTGACCTGTGTTTTTTTTTTTTCCTTAAAGCTTTGTTTGATTCAATGATTGGCAGCCAAATACCAGGGGACCCCTTTATGTCTCAGCGAATTCTATCATCATCCTCTTTCCCATTGCGCCAGAGGTCGGATAAACCCCCTTGGTGTGAGTGTGCTCTCTTGATCGGGGTGAATGTGATGGAGAGGGAGGGGAGAAGAAGGTGGAATGGTAGAAGCCAAATATTGGTTTTATGCTTTGCCATCGATGGAACAGTATCAGAATGGAGAAGTAGGTAAAAGGAAATTAAGTCATATGCCCTGTTAGAAAGCTCCCAGAGACAGATGGAAAAGGGGCTCTTTATAGTACTGTATATTACAGGGAAATCTACTGTTCAATGGATAATGTCTCTCCAGGCATCCTCTGCTGAGTGCCATAGGACATGGAGAGCCTGAATGCACTTCATTTTCATCTCAAGGTCTGTGCTTCTCCGTGACACATGGCCAACCCAGTGTCAGCATGTGGAAGCACCTTCCTTACCACACCAGCCACATATGTGCCGTACTCAGAGCTCCATATAGGATAGCCTTCCATTTAACTTTTCACTTGTGGGCTTTTCTGTAACCCCTTGCTTGTCACGGTCTCTGCTGAAGTGATGACTATAGTTTGTCCCCATTGCTGATCTGACTGCATCTTGAAGGGGAAAGACCCATCAAACAGTTCAACAGCAAACGCCTTAACACCAGTCATTGTTGCCAATGAAAGGGCAGATCTGCTCTTCTCCTGGCTGTTTGCTCCTTTTGCCTGAAGTACTATTTGCTGAGCTGTCACTGAGGTCAAGGAACTGATCTGGCCGACAACAATTGTTTAATCCTCCCCCTTTTACTGGATTAGATATAATCTAAATCTGTTCTCTAGTTTCACTTCACACATAAGGCAAGAACAGTCACTGGTGGAGAAATATTTCTTCTTCTGGTGGCAATTGTAGTTCAGCATTCAGGGATTGTGTGTGTCATGATCCAAGGGTAGTGAGGCTGAAGATGAGTGTCCCATAATAGTGAGGGAATGAAAGAAAGCTTTTTCACTGAATACCCAACATGAAGTTTTGTGTTGCTCTATAATGTCAGTGTAGCACTACGTAACGAGATGTAAGTGTCGATTTTGTGCTTGTGATTTCATGAGCTGAACTGCTGCAGAAGCACACCTAATAACAGCTGCAAGCTCCTGCCGGGGTGCATGACACATAGGTGACCCTCACACATTTCTTGTAGAACTGCGGGATGGTGACAGCTTGGGTTTGCTCAGGTTTTGGGCTAAGGAAATATCAGCTAGATGTTTTAAGATTTTTCCTCCTCTTTGCAGACAGCAGTGGCCCTTCCAGTACTGTCTCCAGTGCAGGCCCATCCTCTCCAACCTCTTTGGACAACTGCAGTCGTTTCAACTTCACTGAGAAACTTTCCATCAGTCCCCCCAAAAATGAGGAGCAGCTGAGTAGCCAGTCCCCTGAACAAGGAGAGAGGCAGCCTGATAGCAGAGGGCTTGGTGGGGAGGTGGGCATGTCTGGGTTGCCGGTGACGGAGCCCAGTGCCCCAGAGACCTGGAGTAAGGACCCAGAGCCAGGTGTGCTCCCAGAACTGTGCAAGAAGGAGTTGGCAAAGGAGAACTCTAACCTGGAGGAAAAAAGTATGGTAGAGGTGGAAGAAGATTCAGCTGAGGAAATGTTAGATACAATTAACGTAGGGAAACCAAAGAGTGGTGCAGAGTCTGAAATGAGGCCAGCTGGGGAGAGAGTGAAGCCAGATGAGGGAGATTTAGAGGTAATGACTGGCCTGGATCAATCAGGGCTGGCCAAGAACATCTTGGTGCCCTGTGATGAGGAGCTTCTGGGAGAAGAGTTGGACCCAGAGCATGCGGGTGAGGAACCATCTGTGGGGCACAGTGCTCTGTCAGACCAGCTTCTGTCTGGTCAGCTGTGTTGGGAGCAACCGCTGCTTCTTGAGGCAAGTGTGGAGGGGCTGCAGCCACCACGTCGGGAGGATCAGCAGAACTAGCAGCTCACTGGACAGCACTCTGCGAGCGCTTCCAGCCTGGAGGCAGCCAACTTCCTGCACAGCACTTCATGCAGATGGTTGTCTACGGAACAAGCCATGTCCCAGGTCCATAGGACTCCAGGTTGTGGAAGAGTCTGCTCTGCTTCTACACAAGCCAGCTCTTTGCCATCCAGCAAGAGACAGTACTTCATCTGCCATGTTAAACAAACAACAAATGCACCTCCATTGAGCAGGGATGTGGCACTGTGTTGGTTCAGCGTCTCCCTAGGGCTGTACGCTCACTGGAACAGTGGAGGATTGGTAGAGCTGAGGCTTTTGGAGTGGTGAGTCCGGAGGAGACAAATGCTCCCTGGAAATTAGTAGGCCCACAGCCTTTAGGGAAGGCATTCTGGGCTCAAAAGTAATCGGGTTCTTCACAACCATCAGCCTCCTCTCTGTTCCTTCCTTCTCCTTCTCTTGATCCCCACTATTGGCTGCCAAAAACTGATCCAGAGAGGCAGTAGAGGGAAGAATAGGAAAAGGAGAAAGCATTCTGAGTGAGTTTGAGAAGGAGAGCAATGAGAAGAACAGGTTCAAGACTGCTACTTGCAAGAAGACCTCTCTCTGGAGTGGACTTGAATGTTTTACTGCTGGGCTGGGCTGGCAGGAGCCAGGGATCCAGCCAGAGAGAGGTGTGCAGGGAGGACACACACGGGTTTTTCTAGTCCCCAAGGGTCATGTGAGGTAAAGCTTTGAACTCTTGGTGACAGAAATTAAGAGAAACTGCTATTTGAGCAAATCAGGATTATTAGAAACCAATAAGAAGAAAACTTTATTCTATATAAAATGAGAAATATTTAATACATATTTATGTAAATGAGTTGTGAGCACAAGCCTGAGGGCAACGTTGACACAGCTGTCCCTGCCACATCCTGAGTGCAGGACAGGGCTGTGCCTCTTGCGCCTCCTGTATTTATGGACAAGTCTGCGTGTTTGTCTGTAGCTACGATATACGTTTTTGTGAAGCTCTGCCCAAAGATCTCTGTGCTGTGTTGTGATGTGTGTTCACAGTAAATTTCTGCTGTGGGTCTTGTGTCTGTCTTAGCTGACTCGTGCAGCAGTGTGCTTGTGCCAGATCCCGCTGATGCTCAGGGCAGCAAACCTTGCTTGTTCTTGGTCATTCTGGAGGAAGAAGAAACTGTGATCAAGACAAGTCACTGCTGAAGTGAGTGCGTACATGTGGGGTTTGCTTGAGAAAGCCAGATGCTTCTTTTCATTCTCCTTGTTTGAAGAACTGATCGTATGGGGGAAGAGGTCCTGGCTGCCCAGGACCCACAGTGGTTTGCCTTCTCAGGACCCTCAGGCAATGCCTGTGTACTGTTCCTGCAGTTCTGCCCTGGTGTGGTCCTCCTCTCAGGCTCACAAAAGGGCCCAACAGATGCCACCAGCTACCCTGAGCTCTCTCTCATGCTGCATGAACAGTGGTGTACTCCCCTCCCACTGCAGCCCATTCTGAGGTCTGCAGCCCCATCCCTGCCTTCTTCTTTTGCTCTGTATTCATCTGTGCAGTGTTTCCTCCAAAGGGCTCCCAGGCAGCAGAGGAGCTGAACTGGTGGCACCAGCCCAACCTGACTGCAGCCGGGCACAGCAGGAGCAGGTGGCTGCTGTCCACGTTTTCAGCTGAGAAGCAGAAGAGCCCAAATGAGTTACTTTCCCTTCAGCGAAGCTGTGCAGCAGGGCAGAGGTGTGCTGCTGCCGTAGGGATGGGTCTCATCATGCTGCATCAGCACAGTGTGGAGGCCCTGCTGCATGCCCTGCCTGATTGCTGGCTCCAGGCTGGCACTGCCCAGCTGTGCCTCCCACGCTCTGGTGATGTTTCCAGTTCCAGGGGTGCCAGCTGTTCCAGGCAGAGCAGCTGTTCCTGAGGACGGGTGGAGGGCTGCAATGCAGTTCTGTGAGGCAGCATTTGCAGCAGTGGCTGCACGCACAGCTGTGCCTGCAGGCCCTCAGCCTGCTGCAAGGGGTAGGAGACAGCTTTGGGACTGCAACACTGAGCAGCCCTCCCCAGGAGGGAGCCCCAGCGTGGGCATCCCTTCTGCAGGGCTGAGGGCAGGGCTGGGCCACAGTGGTAGATGTGGGGAAGCAGTGCTGTACACCCCTGCCCGCACCATGCACACTTAAAGAACGGTTTGAAACAACTGGAAGTGTTCTTGTTCGCAATTAATGTGGCTTTATTATTAATGTGTTGGGCTCCTCTCTTGACAGTAGTTAGTTACAGAGTGTTTCATATGGAAATGGGCAAAAGGACAGAGGTTGAGGAACTAAATTCAAACAGAAATATGATGCTGAAGAAAAGAATCAGGGCTCTGTTTTTAAAACATTTAGCATAGAAGCTGGGAGCACAAGTTGCCATTTCAATACAGTTAAGACGTTCACTTTTTTTTTTAATTATAGGTTTAAAATAGTATTTTGTACCTATTACATACAGGAAGATTACGTGTTGTTGCCCACATGCAGAAACAAGCAAAAGCAGAGTTTAACAGTTTCTCTCTATAGTGTTGTATTACCTCTGGCTCTGGATGGGTTCTGCTGGCTCCTGCAGGCTGAGCAGAGTCTGACGCTTTACAAATTGGAATTTATACAATTCTTTTTCCCCATAGTTTCAGAAGATCACAAGGGAGGGAGAGAAACAGAAGGCAGAAGAGACTGCCACAAAAGTCTGAAAAAAAACTGTGGAGTCTTGAGGACACAGAATTGAACTGGGGAAAGATCGAGCAGTCTGAGCAGCACAGCTGCAGAGTGCAGGAGCACAGCGTGCAGAGGGCGAGCGTTTGCACTGAAACACGTGCCAACAGCTGCACTCCTGCTGGGAGGATGCAGGCACCTTGCAAAGCCTCACTCTTACTGCTTAGTTAGAATTGCTTCAAGTTTAAAATTGAGAAACATTCATATGTGGGTCTATCTAAAGTTAGTGCATTAGCTTTTATGCCTAGCCATGCTGAGGGATCCAAGGACCCAGTCAACGAAGATGTCATATTTATTTCTCTAGCTACCTGGCACCGGACGTTGGGCATTTTATTCCTGCAGATGGCTGCCATCCAGTCCCATTGACAAGTGAACCAGGATCTCCCTAAAGCACTGAAGGCAAAACCCCAGAGCAGCGTCTGGGAAAAGCATAAGTAGGTCTGTTACTGCCTACAATTGCTTGCTTTACCTGACATTCATAGAAAATAATCCCACCGGGTTGCAGAGAATGACATTTATTCTGGCAGACACACTGTGATTCCATGGTTAATGTGAATACAGCCCAGGGATTTCAGAAATCCCCAAGCAAGCTCACACACTCCTACCCAGGAGTATGTTTAAAAGGGCTGACCGTCCCAAGGGAGAGGCTGCTAGCCTTGGGCTTTGTCCTGCAGCTGCTGGGTTTCAGACATAGCCTCGCAGGCTGCAAGCAGAGATCCCTTCTGGTGCCAGCAAATTTTCTGTGGTCTTTTTGTTGTTGTTCTTTAAATTGCAGCATCTAAGTATTTGTACTGAGAAACCTCTGAGCTGACACCAAAAGCACGTAGTGTCAATTTATCACGTATAAATTAAAATAGTAAATCCAAACAAAAAGCAGCTTAAGATCAAAAAATAAATATATAAATTAAATGCAAAATAAACCGTTTCCCTAGAAGCTCCATTTTAGTTCTAGGAGCAAGTTTCTAAGCAGCATTTTCTTTGTGTCAGCTGCTAGAAAACACTAGCAAAGAAAATGAAGTATCCTAGGCAAGTACAGCCCATTGTCCTGGGATGCTTACTGTGGAATCAGACATCGGCTCAGGGCCAAGCACAGTGGGTGACGCAGCAGATGGAAATATTTGTATGCCAAGCCTTGCGACAGCGCTTTCTATCTCATCTCTCCTTTGTCAGAGGAGCACAACCTACTGCCGCTCATTTTGTCTTACGGAAAGTTAAAGTCATCCCCATCATAAGATGGTCCAGGTTCTGGCAAAGGCTTCCTGCTGCTGCTGACACAGTGCACTTGAGCACCTGCGCACTCAGAGTTGCTCCCCCTGCAGGGGCAGCCCCACAGCTGGAATGGGCTTGTGTATCAAGGAGGTTCTGGGTTCAGCAGCAATGGTGCCCTCAGAGCACGCAGCTACATTTCTTGCCAGCTGCAACCACAAGTAGCTCCTCTGTGCTGGCAACATATGTACATCCCTGAAACAGGTACAGAGAAGCTATGAACTAACATAGTCGCTGATCTACTTCCCCCAGGTGTTTCTGCGAAGAGTTCTTCCTCCTCATCCCACAGGTTCTAGTCTCCAAATCCTGGGTGCGCTTTTTTGGCGGGGCAGTTTAGGCAACAATAGCTTGAACACAGCTAAGAAGCTGGGCTGTTGGCATACATGTAGCGAAGAAACTGCTGTTGCTTGCAGAACTGGCCCACATCAGCTCTACTGGCCAGACACTAGCATCTCAGTATGGCATGCGAGTTCCTCAGCTGCCTCACCACTCTCCTTAGTAAAACCTTTGGTTTACCACGTTGGGGAGGTTTCTCAAAGCTCATAGGCCAACAGAGGCCAGGTTGTTGCAGCCCTTCTGCTTTAGAACTGGCTGTAGTTGTGCGTTTGGATTCTCTCAAGTGTGACTGTTCAGGCAGTGGCCCCTCTGTGCCTCTGCAGGTTAGCCACTTGGTGTGCAAAACTCAAGTTAGCAGGTTAGGAATGTGCTCTTCGCAGCAGAGCAACAGGCTGAGCATTCTCCTCTCAACCCAAGATGTCATTCAGTACAGCTCCCTGAGCACAGAGAGCCAGCACTGCAGGAGTCTGCAAGCAAATATTTGGGACAGAAGCCTGCAGAAGTGGCCAGCAGTGGCCCTGCCCAGTTGGCATATAAATCTCCTCACCCAGAACACCACCTGTATGCTCACAATGGGAGATGGAAGAATGCCCTTCACTGTCACACTATGATTGGAAAGTTTGACCTTCCCTCATCATCTCAGTCCATTTACTTTGCAAATTAGTTTTCTTCTCTATCCCCCTGCCCCCAAACACCGTCAACATGCAGCAGCAGCATTTTAGCCCTCACCAGAAAGATGAGGGTCATGGTGCTACAAGTTAAATGGCAAGGCAGCCAGGAAGAGAGTGGAACAAGCTCTCGTAGCAGCAAGGCAGCCAAGATAGTCTACAGAAACTGTACAGGCGGCAGAATAAAGCAGGGAAAGTGGAAGCGCCCCTGGCCTGCAACTGCTCTTGCACAAAACCTTAGCTCAGTCCAGAATATTACAGAGCCCTGCACTTCTTTCTCACGGCATCCAGTGCTGAGCTAGATGGGTACCCTATTGCTTGACAAATGGGAACCAATGTAAAGGATTAAACCAGAGAAGACCTGGACTGTGATTAGATGGTGTCTCTGATGTTGCATCGGTGATTGGAGAATCAATGAATTAACGTAAAGTGGGGCTGGGAGATTTAGAATTCAATCTTACAGGCTGGGAAAGATTCGTCCTGCATCACAACAGTGCTGCTGCTTGCCAGAACCATGATGTTTAGCTCCTGCTGTTTCTCATGTGTCTGCTGGTACCATTCCCGTGTCACCTCGGTATCATGTGTTGGGATCAACGTCACCTGGGGAAAAAAGAAGCAGACGTGATTATCTGAGAACAACTGCAGTTATAAACAGTGCCCATAAGAGCCAAGGCTAAAATTTCTCGTTGATTTTGGAACACTGTCCCCTTGGTACTGCTTGTTCTACTTAATGTCTTTCAGATGTCAGATTCTCTAAGGCAGAACTGCTGCTTTGCTTTATGCAATACCAGAACAACGAGGCTCTGAGTTGGCTGCAGTCTGGCAGTACTACCACAATGACGCTGAGAACGGCTGCAGTACAGCGGAAAGCATCAACAGTGCTCCAAAAACAGCCTCAGAAAGATCCCTCAGTGTGAGAAGGGACAGTGCTGAATGTCACTCCTATTGGGCTGATACTAGACTTTGTACAGCTCCTCACCCAGCTCGCAGCTCCAGGACTTTGAAATCTAAGGCTGCTTCATCTGACAGAGCACACACACTTTCCTGTTTCTGTCTTCAGAAAACAGTGTCCACCCTGCTGGATCTCCTACAGACCTGACTACATAGGAAACATGACTAAGAATACTTTTTTTTTTTTAATCACTAATAAAAGTTAGCATCTGTCACTAATAAAGTCTTTGAGCAAGAAGGGCTAGCAACAAGTGCCACAGGATGTTGTGATGAAATGTAAGCTGCAACGCTGCTTGTTTTCACTTGCAGCAGGCTCATCTTGGAGCAGATGAGCAGGCACACATGATCTCTAAATGCTTCCTCAGAACGATGTGGAATGGAGGACGCACCCGATTCCACTCGCATCATTCTGAGGATGCCCTC